TTCTAATTTCTGAGGGAGTTAGAGGTCTAGGCCAGCTCTTGACCACATCCGTCTTCTTAGGATCTACCTCAGTACCCTTACTTGAGACAATATGACCAATGAAAGCTATGGATCTCAACCAAAATTCACATTTGCTAAACTTTGCAAAAAGTTGTTGGTCCTGAAGAATTTGCAACGATTCTCAAATGATCCATATGCTCATTCTCACTCATTTAGTAGATCAAAATATCATCGATAAACACAATCACAAACATGTCTAGGTATTGCCTAAACATTGTATTCATCAAGTCCATAAACGCCACCGGAGCATTAGTCAAACCAAACGACATTACTAGGAACTCATAATGACCATACCGAGTTCGAAAAGTCATCTTCGGAATGTCATTTTCTCTCACCCTCAATTGGTGATATCCCTATCAAAGATCAATCTTAGAGAAATAACTTGTCCCTTGGAGTTGGTCAAATAAGTAATCTATCTTTGGAAGAGGATACTTATTCTTAATAGTCACCTTGTTCAAATGACGATAGTCTATACACATACGATGAGAACCATCCTTCATTCTAACAAACAAAACTATAGCACCCTATATAGAGATACTCGGTCGGATGAAGCCTTAATCCAACAGGTCTTTCAATTGTTCTTTCAACTCCTTAAGTTCTTCCAGAGCCATACGGTAAGGAGGAATAGAAACAGGTTGCGTATCTGGGAGAAGGTCAATACCAAAGTCTATATCTTGCTCAGGAGGAATACAAGGTAAGTCATTTGGAAACACTTCCTAAAATTCATTCACAACGGGGATCGACTCAAGAGAAGGGGTTTCAGAATCTACATCCCTCACCCTAACTAGATGGTAAATGCAATCCTTAGAAATCATCTTTCTAGGTTTAAGACAAGAGACAAATTTACCCTTAGGCATAGAATTTCCCTCCTTCCACTCCAGGACAGGCTCATTTGGAAACTAAAATTTGACTACATGAGTTCTACAATCAATAGAAGCATAACATGAGTACAGCCAATCTATACCCAAGATAACATCAAACTCTAACATATCAAGCTCTACCAGGTCAACAAGAGTAACTTTTTGGGACACGGAAACTAGATACTTTCTATACATCCTCTTACCCACCACAGAATCACCAACACGGGTAGAGATAGAAAAAGGTTCTAACAACACAACGGGGAGCACTTCAAACCTCATAGCCACATATGGAATAACAAAAGACAAAGTAGCACTGGGATCAAGTAATACATATTCATCTAGTTGAAAAACTTTAAACGTACCGGTAACCACATTGGGAGAACTCTCTCATTCACCACGAGTCTGGAGTGCATAGAAACGAATTTTCTTAGGAGTATTGGAATGCGAACCACTAAGAGTAGCTTGCTTGCCCTCTCTCCCTTTAGCTGTAAGCATCAGGCAATCCCTCATTTTGTGACCACATTTACCACAACCATAGCAACTATATGTGTCGGCTAGACACTTACCATCGTGCTTCCTTCCACACTTAGTACAAGTAGACCTAGACAATGAAGATCCACTACCATTACCTCTTTGGCGCTTAGGGTTTGACACACTATCTCCTCCAAAATATTTTCTTCGAAATCTAGGACGAACTTGCATGAGAAAAATTACCATCACCGGTCTTTTTCCTTTTTACCTCTCTAGAATTTTCCTTAAATTTTTCCTTCTCAATTTTTTGTGCATGTACCATGCGACGAGAGATATCCATGTCATGAATGAGCATGGCGGTTCGACACTCTTTAACCACCATTTCGGACACCCCTGAAATGAACTTACTCATTCTAGACCTTAAATCTGCAACCATTATTGGAGTATATTTTGACAATTGAGTGAACTTTGGAGGATACTCCCTTGCCAGAGGTAAATGAACTCGATCACATTGACTTCCCTCATCTCTAGGGGAAAGAACCTATCAAGAAAAGCGGTTTGAACTTCTCCCAATCAAGAGGACCTGCATCATCCATTCTCCTTTTTTTCCATTGATTATACCATATTTGAGCCACTACCTTTAGTTGATAAGCGGCCAACTACGCTTTTTCTACCGGCGTAACTCTTATGATCATCAAAACCTTATAGACCTCATCGATAAACTCTTGATGATCTTCCTTAAATTTGGCACCATGAAACTTCGAAGGGTTCATCCTTGTAAAGTCCCTCACCCTTGAAGCCGTCGTACCCACGTTTGGGTTCACGAGAACCGCAACCTATTTATTTTCTTGGGCCATCACCGCTTGAGTCAACACTTGGAAAGCAGCCCTAAACTCCACATTGGATACAAGTTCGGCCAAAATATTGACCGGAACTTGAGGAACTTAGGGGGCAGCTTCTTGTTCCTCATTCTCCTTCACATTCCTTCTAGTATAACCTCTTCAGGTAGCCATATCCTGAAGAACATAAGATAAGGATTAGGAGAGATACTTTATAGAGTTAGACTCTATCGCATGACTTAAGAGTAATGAAAGAACTGCAGTTCCCTACTCATCTTCTAGCCTCTCATTCATAAATGTTGTGCGCTTCACACTTATGAACAAGACTCTACTAGACTTGGCTTATGAGACAACCTAGGACCATTCAAACCTTGTGCTCTGATTACCAAGTTTGTCACGACCCAAGGGTACCCCCTAGATGTAACATGGCGTATAGAACCCCGAAGGATTCCATACAAGCCACTTAGTTCTCATAACATAAGAAATAGAACAATGAGAGTAAAAAAATAGTCCAAATCTAAATCATTTTATAAAACAAAAACCTAGAAGTCTAAACTCATGTCTCATCATTGCCATCTAATACAATAGAATGAAATTGGACCTAGCCCATAAATCAAGTTAAAGAAAATGAAAGAAAATAAAACAAGAACTCTATCCTCGAAGCATGACGACTCACCAAAGCTCGGGAAATCACGAACTCAACTACTAACCACGAGACTAGAAAACCTGTCTATCAGACTCTATATTTGGGGAAAATGTAGGCAAGAGTATGCTTTAGCGTTGCGTCCAAAAGCACATGCAAGTGTACGTGGTCACTCAAGTAGTACATCGACTCTTTCGAGCCGGATTATCGAACTCAAAGGACTTCTAATCAACAAATAACAACTTTATTATGTCTAAAATAAAGTTACTTATGCGACAAACAATTTTAAAAAATTGTATATTTGTACTAGCTTGAACAATCTCAAAAATTAATTACTACAATCAAATAGTTTCAAACAAGAGAATTTCACAAAATAGGAAAGTATTCCAAGGTTGTAGCATAACCCAATTTCCGGCATAATATTAATTTAAACTAGCATTCAACAGATTAACCTCATTATGGATTTGCAAGGCTCATTTTACGATCATGATCTCCCGACCTCTAATCGCCTACCACCATCGACAGCCTAACTACATCGTTAAGCAGGGATAGGCATGAACCAATGGCGGAGCATTATGCTATCATCTTGCATATTAATCAAGCGTGGTATATAGGTATAAGACTATCCTATATACGAAACACTCTAACTTTACTCTAGAATGAACACGCTTCTTACATTCTTTGATCTATCCCTCTATTCATCTTCCGAATTCAAGAGTGGACAATGAGTTTATTTTACTGTTGATCAGTCATTAAAATAGTTAAACAAGAAGGTAAGCATAAATCACAAGAAAACCTATCTCATGCTAGAAACAAATACTATTATACCATTAATCGTCGCTACGACCCTAGAAAAAGGGAATTTAGCTACTCATAGAACAAAATATCATCAAATAATGTTTATGGATCATAAAAGGGTTTACCAAAATGAAAGAGTAGAAGAGAAGCCCTAGAAAGTATTAGCAAAATCGCCCAAATCAATGTTCTCCCGTCTTTTAAAAATTGGATAATGATAAAATAACACAACTTATGCACACATGAATCGGGTTGCCCGGGTGTGGTAAAAATTGTCATAAATTGCTTGATACCAGGGCTGCATTTTATCGAGGTGACAAGAGACCGAGTCTGCTTAGTTTATGCTCTGATGAAGGAGGTCCCTATATATATAGGAGCGGTGTTGAAATTGGCCATGAAAAAGGCAAGAGTACATCGAGGTCGAAGGTATGCTTTTGGGGGACTAATTACTAATTTCTGCAGGCGAGCTGGAGTTCCAGAGGAGAGTGTGGACTACATGGCACCTCTGTTCACCACACCCCTAGATGTCACAAAGACAAAGGGGCCAAGAACATGGATGGACCCACCCTCACTACAGCAGAGCGCAACAGGAGGGATGAGATGATCACGGTGCGCATGTTTGGATTGGAGATGATGTGTCATAGAAATGGATGCCTAGATTTAACTCAGGAGTAGTTGGATGAAATTGAAACGAAGTACCCCCTGAATGAAAATGTTTAGGCATTGCTGGGACTTGGACCTGCATTTCTAGAACCCGTATGGGATGATGTTCCAACTGATGAGGACAAGGGGCGAACCATGTCGGATAGTGAATCCAATTCTGAAGCAGAGGAAGGTGACCTTTTGGCTCTTGAGGGCACCAGCGGTGATGCTGACATGGATGAATGATCAGGGAAGTATACCCGCCCTACTTTGCTTTCATTTCAAATTATGTCACACTAGGGATGGTGTTGCGTGTTTAAGTGTGGGCTGGGAATACTATATCCATTATAAATAGTTTTTATTTTGTTTGTGTTTTTTTTGGTTTTGGGTTCCTTGGAAGTTGTTTTTGGTTCTTTGGCCAAGGACAGTCCCGTTGAACCGTATAAAAATAGATTTTATTTCTTATGATGGAGTCAATGTCATAGTTGAGTCAAGCCTCACTATGATAAATGGATGACGACCTTCTTAAGGACAGTTTTCATCATTTGGGTTTGTAGGGTTGGCTTTTGGCTAAGGTTGCGCAACTGCTTTGAGTTAGACTAAAAGTTGAAAACATTGGATGACTTTGTGTTGAGACATCTAGGCTCTTTTATGTGACTCTTTATGGTGTGTGCTTAAAATGAAGTTATGTCAGTGATTGGGAAGTAGTATGTAGTGATCAGTTCTGAGTTGAATGTGTGCCAGAGATGTAAGATTTGTGTAATCCTTGCTATTAATTGAGGTCCAGAACTTGCCTGGTGTGTCTGCATAGCGAAAAAGAGGATAAGGAATCAGGAAGTGATATAGGCATTTCTTTAATAGCCCTAATTATGCTTTCCTGTAACCACCTTGATGTATATCCTTAGTTAACCCCTTCGAGCCTTGAACTTATTCTTTGGTTTCCTAATTTGAAGCTAATGTTCATTCCTTCTCTGGCCTATCAATTTCATCCAAAAAATCTTAAGCGCTTTGTGGGAACAATAGTGAAGGAAACGAAAGTGAGGGGCAAGCCCCAACATAAGTCTAGCTTGTATAAAAAAATAAAAAAATTGATGAATGAATATAGAATAAAAATGGTGGGAAGAAGTGATTGTTAAATGTCTTACAACAAAGAGTCGAATGGCTCCAAGAAAAGGAGCATAAGAAGGAGGTTATTAAAAGAAGGTCCAAAAATGAAGTTTGTCTTGTATTAAAGTTCTTGGGAATGCAATCGCTATTTATATCCAAAAAATAAAAAAAAAATTGTTCCTACCCGTCCCCAAGCCTACATTACATCCCTTAAAAGACCTAATTCATCTTGAACTTTCGTATTCTCAAAATTAGTGATGTAGTACACTAAGGGCAAGCCTATGGTTCATTGGTTGTGACATGTGAATTCTTTCGAGAGTGTGAGCCAAATTTGCTTCCCGCACCCTTTATTATATGAAAATTTTATGTGTGAGTAAATCAGGGTGTTCATTTGTGGTGAGGGGCACATGTTTGGTGAAGTCTGATAACTGATATTTCTGTGGATCCAAAAGTTGTGCATAAGTTTGCTGCGTTATAAGAGTCTATTCTTGAGGTTGGATTGTCTTGCTCTAGTTGTCCTGATGAATGCATAGTATTTGCCATGTTGTTGTGAAGCTACGATAGTTGTTGTGGCCAAAGTTGAAATACCATTAGAGGGAAGTGTAGTAGAGTCGTCGGATGTTTGAATGTGTGGAAGTGTTCGAGGATGAACAAAGCTTTAATTGTGGGGTGGTGATCTTAGGCGTATTTATGCGCCTAATAACCAATTTTTCCATATATTTAGTTAAGTTTGAGAGCACTTTGTTAGTCCGAACTGAGATTTTAGAGTCTTTTGATATTGTTTCCTCTAACCAATATGATTAGATGTTTCAGGATGAAAAACAAAGAAGAATGAGTCAAAATAGGGCACTTGGACAGAGGTCGGAAAATAGAAGACGAAGTTGCGGAGGAGAATGGCCAAGAAGCTGGAAAATACACTAAGATAGAGCATCTCCGCATCGCGGAGCTGAAAGTTGCATATAGAAAATGAAATTCAACTTAACAGGGGAGTGCGCTTCAGGAGCGCGTCGCGGATGCGATCTTTTTTTGTATACAATCCCACTTAACATCCAATAAAATGAGATATCTCTTTCCCACTAGACTTTTCCTCAACATGTCAGTAAGGATGTCATCCTTATATCTCTTGTCCTTGTAACCGGTAACTCGACTAAAAATCTCTTCTAATAGTGTTCTCCGGTTATATGTTTTGGAAATGATGCACCATGCTCGAACATCGAAATGAGAAACAATGTTTTCACTATTGTACACCTTTCTAGCAATTGTCGTTTTCCCTTGTCCCCCCATGCCTACAATTGGGATGACGTCTAGCTCATTTGTACCTTTAATTAGATACAGAATCATTTTTTCTATGTCATTCCCACAACCCACTATCTCCTCATCAATCACTGGATTGCTATGTCGAGTTAGCAGGTGTTTAAATGGTGCTACCACATAGAAAGGCTTAAGAGCAACGTCTGCTGACCATATCTCAGTCACCTGCACATTAATTTCCTTGATCTCTTTTGAGATTGTAGGAAGTGAGCAAAAAATATGCAAAAAAGCATTATACTAAACAAGAATAGAGTCAATGGTAACCTCAGCTTCATATGCCAAATTGATAGTACGTCTCTTAAGATCTTTAAGAATTTTATGTTTATGGTGCACCTTTGCGACATCTCTGAAAATGGATGATAAAGATGACAACTCCTTCTCTAAAATGGATATAAGAGTTGATAACTCTTTCTCCAAATTACCTAAAAGAGGTTTCATCAAGAAATCTAAATCGGATTCAGAGACAGACATCTCATTCAGTTTCCTTATAAGAGAATCCTGAAAGTTCAATCCACCAATAGTAGGGAACTGAAATGGAGTGAATTTTAAGGATTTGTAGTAAGTCTCCACTTGTGCCTTTAGATCTTTAGTTTTCTCCAATATTTGTATCGAGCAAAGACTTATTTTGCTAGTGTCATCTTTGTTTATAGAGCAGGAAGAAGTTTTTCAATGACATATAGAACATCACCTACTATAGCTCCAATTTTTACCATTAATAACATGATTTGACACATCATCATCAAGGAAAACCAAAAAGAACTCTATTGCCACATCAATATTTTGAACAGAGACGTTATCAAGAAAGTTATTGAGCTTTTTGTTTCCAAGATACATCAGCAGATTTTGCAGATGATGAGAAGATCCTTTTGGTAATTTCTTGTCCTTGAAAGTTCTTGAATGAGTAAACATTGAAGCCTTTAGTTCATCGAGAAAAATCTTCTTCATTTCCAGCTCCACTAACACAATCAAGAATAATAGATAAGGATGTTTATTCAAGATATCATCCTCATCCTTATCTACAAAATCAGCAAAAACGTTATCTGAAATAGCAAAACAAAGTTGTCCCACGTTGTTAACCATGAACTGAATTCGAGTCTCCAAACATTCTAGCTTCTCATTGCCGACGTAACCATTTATCTCTGTAGCATATAAGTATCTCAAAATTTTCATTTTCTTTTGAACAATTTTCAGTTGCTTTATAAATCTGTGTATTTCAAGGTTTTGTTCAGCAGGGTAAGATCTAACCTCCTCCAGTGAAATCATCACTAAATCAGTTAGATTCTTTTCGAGGAAATCCATATATTTCGACAGATCCAAATCATTCAACTCATAATTGTAACTTAAAATGGTATTACATTTCAAGAATTCCAACAAATGTGATTCTAGCCTTTCTAGATTAGGGTTAGTTTTACATTGATCTGTAATCTCATCCAATACCCGGTGAAGCATTTCCATAGTCAATTTGGCATTCTTTGTGTGTTTGAATAAGGAATCACGAAAAAGAACATGATGATACTTTATAAAGGTTCTCAAAACTCTTAGCCACATTTCAAATTTCTGTATTTGATCAATCTTGAAGCTAGTCAGATTACCTCCACTCTTGATCCTTCTTAGGTGATCTAACATTTCCTCAATTCCATTTTCAGCCATCTTCTCTTGAAAAATTCCTCCAAGTTCACCAACTCTTGGAATTAGGTTCATTAACAACAACATTTTTATTCGTCACCCAATATCTAGTGTTTGTAGCTATGTTAATGCTTATGAAAGATAATACATTTTATGTACCATTTCATCTAATTCAAACAGTGCATATTATCACAAAAAATCACATTTCACTCAACTTTCATATGGTCACTCAACTAAGAGTTATTTTCTTTAAACAAAAGAAAAATAATATGAATGTGCATGTGACGCTAATGATGGAGAGCGGACACTAAAAAAAGGTCAAAGAAAAGGATTGATAAGCATTTAGGTTGGCAAGCATCTTAGTTGAATCACACATAGGAATAGCCCAAGTAGGAGAAGAAAGTGAAAAAAGAAAAAGCTACAATACATAACACAAGTCACTACACTTTTGAGCTTGACGATGCATATCCCAAAAGCTTGGCTCTGACAAGATGGTCATTATGATCATTCTACCCACTGCATTACAGAAAGGGTCCATTCATAACATACAAGTTTGATGGTTAGCAAAACCGTTCTTTCCACATTGCCTCTTATTAGAGGTCCATATCACCAAAATTAAACTGATAAAAAAAGTTCAAATATGCCATCAAACTTTGAAAAAAGGTACCTCTATGCCACATGTTATTAATTGGGATCAACCGTTCCATTGTCCCAGAAAGGACCCATTCGTGCTACTTTTTAATTGTTAAATTTGATGACTTTGCAAAATCAATTTTTACACTAGACCTCTTATTATAGGTCCACGTGCCAAATTAAACCAACCTAATTTAATTAAATTTGAAATTAAAACCTGACCCATAGCATCACACTCGATCCACCCTAACCTATTTCACTTTTTATTTCTTACCCAGACCCTTAGATTGATCAATTGACAAGAAACTGACATATAAATCTATTGTCAGAAAAAATGAAAATGCCCCATCTTGAGATGAATCGTGTTTGGGCTTATACACTTGGGCCTCAATTATTTCTATGTTCTGACCTACGCAAGTATATACACAGAAAGAGTTATATTATGGTATAACTAGGACTGCTCATGTAAATAATCTACCTTGTAGTTATTTTCGGTATTTATCTTTTAGAGTTTGTATTTATCATTAGGGATTCTTTTTTGTATAAATACGCAGCTTCACTGTACAGTTGAGGGATCAATAAATACAAAAGAAAATTTCTACTTCTCGTTTTCTCTTTAATTATTTTCAAGGTATCAGAGCTTCTGTAAAAGCATATTTTTTTCTCTTTTCCTTCTTTCCCATTCTTCCCATTTGATCAATCTTGAATCATGACTAACAATGCTATCGATTCTACTACAACAACAATTATTGTAGAAGGAAGTTCAACCATTGTTGCTTCCTTACAAATAGATACTTATCACCCATGTCTTTTGGCCTCCTCTGATAATCTAAGGATGGTTTTGCTAAATGTCACCTTTGATGGAAATTGTTATGAAAACTGGCGTAGGGGTGTTCTCATATCACTCTCAGCCAAGAACAAACTTGGATTCATAAATGGAACTTCCAAATGTACGGCTGAAGATTCATCGCTGCTTGATCAGTGGAAAAGATGCAATGACATGGTCATTGCTTGGCTGCTAAACTCCCTCATTAGGGAAATCTTTGAGAGTGTACTCTACTCTCAAACAGCCAGGGAGCTTTAGATTGAGCTTGAAGAGCGATATGGATAGGCAGATGGAGCAAGGCTTTTCCAACTGCAATGAGAACTCAACACCATCAATCAAGGTACTAATGATGTGACAAGCTACTTTACCAAATTTAAAAGAATTTGGGACCAATTGAAACTTCCTAACACTTTTATGATATGTAAATGTGCTTGTGATTGTGGAGCTAAGGATCACAACATGAAAACGAACGAAGATAAGTAGTTAATACAATTTTTAATGGGTCTTAATGATACTTTTACTAGTGTGAGGGGAAACATATTGATAATGAAACCACTTCCAAGCACTGCACAAGCTTATTCTATAATCTTGCATGAAGAATCTCAAAGGGAAGTTCATTCTAAAAATTACCTTACTACTGACTCATCTGCTTTTATGACTTCCAAACAAAAATGGACTCCGACTAAGAATTCTGGATAGTACTAAGGAACTAGACAAGCAGGGAATGTTGAAAGTAAGAAATCTGAATTGCTTTGTAAGTATTGCAAAAAATCTGGGCATATGAAAGAAGATTGCTACAAACTTGTTGGCTATCTTGCTCAATTCAAATTCAACAAACCAAGAAAGGGAAACTTTGGGAATCATCAAGCTAATGCATTTGTTGATCAAGACTTCTACAAGGAAGGATTAATGGTTGACCTCGTTAATAGCCATGGATTTTCTAGGGAACAATTTAAGAAGTTGATTCAAATGTTCAATTCTGTCCAAAGAGGTTCTACAACAAAAAATTCAGAGGCCATTACCAGTGTAAATTTGGCTGGTATGCATTATGGCTAACATGTTTTACCTCATTTTTCTCTTCCATTACTCATCATACTTGGATCATAGATTGTGGAGCATCTCAACATATGACTTTTGACAAATCTACTTTTTTGTAGGTTAAGAGCTAAGACCTTCATGATATTTTCTATTCTCTTCTTTTCTGAGGCTTCCTGTGGAGATTTTTGAGGTAGTTTTTTGTCATCTCAGCGGACCTTCTTACTCTTATTTATTATATTGTTCAACTTTAGTGACAACATCATTGGAGACTTGTGTTTTCTTTCAAATCTATTGTAATACATTAGAGGCTTGTGCACGTGACAACCAGGTTTTGGGGATTTAGTTAAGTTGACTTGTTATACGTATTATTACTTTGTTATTAAACTTTCAACTATAGCTTATTTCCACACTTTATCGTAATGGTTGGGTTTTAGGTTGACTTGTCTAAATGGGATAAGACGAGTGTCATCACATCGATTTTGCAAAATGGTATTAGAGCCCAAGGTTCATAGGTCTCACATGTGTACAATACAAGTCTAGTAGAGTCTCAAGGATCGGAGCGGAGATGTTTGTTGCTTATCTTCGAGAGGCTATGGTGACTTTTAGGAAAAATCTTCACTTTTTTTAAACTCTATCGTTCATCTTTTTTCGTTCTAATTCTTATAGCTTCATTCCATTCTTTCTCACTTATAGTGATGACTCATGTATTATCCTTCATGTGGGTAATTTATGTGTTGTGTATGGCTTGGTTGATAGATCTAGTACTAATGTGGATGTGATAGACTTGTGAAAAAGATGTGTGATTATATTCGGAATGTTTAGCGATTTGAAGGAGTTGAGTAAGGTGATGGCTCACTGATGCATTTTGAGGCTATGGGAATGATGAGGTTGAAAAATGATTTGAGGGACTTCATGAATGTGTTATCTTTTTCAGGTTAGTTGCCCTAGAAAAGGAATAGTACTTATGTGGTATAGGTGATATCTATAGTGGTTCGACCATTGAAAGTGAAATGATTAAACATTGGAAACTATAGTTAGTAAAGTTGTGATAACATGCATGTATGGGTTGCTTAGCAAATGATGAAAATGATGTTGCGCGAATTGAGGTCAGAATCTCTACTACGGTTTTATATTTTAAGTGTATATCAAATAAGGTCATGATACGACTACTATAATGGTAGTGACTCTTACTTGGTTAGATTTATGAAGTGTGTTACTTCTGCTATCGACCTGATCTACGAATGAATGCATATCGCTTTGAACAAGAGACCGAACAAAGTTGATAGTTTAGGCCAGAAATATGTGGGCTATTTGAGTACAATCTTATCGAGGGGTATGAGGTGTTCTAGTGGTGGATCTAACGGGCTCTCATGGTGTGGTACTAGTGGTACATGGAAACGGATACATCGATTGTTAAGCGTGAATATTAACTACTTAAGGATTTATCAATTGTATCACATGCTCGTATAGTGAGATTTGGTGTTGCACTACTATGTGAGAAACCAACTAGCTTATTACTATAGACGAATGGGTTAAGCATTATTGATAAGGAAGATTTTAGTGGTGGATTTTTTATACAATATTAATGTGTTTAGGTTATAAAGTGTTTCTCAAGAATTTTAGGTGAGGGCTAGTGATTTCATCGTAAGCTCTAAGGGAGTGGATCGATATTGAAATTACAAACTTATGGCTAAAGGAAGTCTTAATGAGTATACTTGTGTGAAGGCAATTGAGGATTTTAGTAAGAAAGTGTGTATAAAATTGGGTTAATCCTTTGAATTTGGCTGGTATAGTTGGGTGTAAGGTTTCACGTCGATGATAAGGTTTACTTAGTGATGATGGTAATGACTACTAAGCATAATGGTAATAAGATTTTGATAGATTTTAATTAAGATGCGACTATATGATAAGGCTTTTTGGTTAAACAATTTATGTATGGTAATGATGACCTGCAGATATTTATAGTTGTAGTTTGCTATTTTTTGGTGAGCAACATGGTCGTATGGAAAGATGTAGGAGGAGCTGGGACACTTCTTAAATAGAATTAATAGGAGCTAGAACCATAATAGAAAGAATTAGTGTGATATAGTGTAACCTTTAGAAGGAGGAGAGAGCAACGATATTTACTCTGTTGTAAAAGTCAAAGATGTATCTTCAAAGAGAGTGGAGAATTGGGTTCAGAGACACATGGTTCCATCTATTTTGCTCTGGTTAAGGTGATAGTGTTACGTGTCATTCATATGGGTTAAAAACTGTTGGATAAGATTTGAGAAAGAAGTTTATAGACGTACATATTGACTGTGGTGATAAGTTCTTTTGTGGTTTTGAGTTTGGTAACCGGTACTGTTGAAATATGAACTTAAGTCTTTCATTGTAAGTCTACGTTCGAAGTAGTATAATTTTTCAAGATATGGATGGGTAAGGTAAGAAATGATCGATCGCATCGAGTATTGAACATTTCGAAGGACATGTTCATGATTTAAATTGTTACTTTTGATTGTTATAGGACCTAAACAATTTTCACTTA